CCTCTGGGTCAATGGCCCCGACTGTGGGGGGGCCGCCACCGGCCTCCCCCCTCGTGTCTGGGCCGTGGTCGACCTCTACGGCAAGTGCACCCAGATCACCGTCGTGCCCCCCGAACCGCCGGGGGCGGAGGGCACTGAGGAGGAGGGGGAGGAAGGTGAGCAGGGGGGTGGGGGGAGTTGACAGTGAGGTTGGGAGTGAGGGGCATGGGCAGGGTAGGAGGCTGTGGATCAAGAGTGAGGGGCACCAGCTGGGCTGGGGGGCAGGGGGCTGCAGGTCCAAAGTGAGGCATTCTGACGCCCTGCCCCCCCACCCCCAGTTCTGTCCCTGCCCTGCAACCAGAGCCGTCCGGACAAGTTTCCCAACAGCCTGGACTCGGAGAACAGTGAGTGGAGAACTCAGGCATCCAGGTCTAGTTCCCCCCCACCCTTACCCAGAAGCCTTTGCTCACATTGGAAAGCAGGCAGAGAACTTAGGCATCCTGGTTTCCGCAGATCTAGCCCTTATTTTCCCTTACGGGGGAAAAAACCGGGGAATTTGGCTCTTTGTTAGTGCAGGACTCGTGTGTCTCTTTTCACACCCTGTCCAATTTGGGACCCTGGCATCTGCCCCCCTCCCTAGCCTGGAACCTAGGCATCCAGGCCCCCTCCCACCCCCCCATCCTGGGACCCAGGTGTCCAATGCCTCTCCCCACATCTGGGATCCAGATGCCTGGCCCCTCCCTCTTCCCCAGGTATCTGATCTCTCTCCCCCCATCTGGGACTCGGGTGTCTGGACCCTCCTCACCCCTGCTTCCCACAGGCTTTTCTGGGCTGGAGCTGTCGGAGGCAGTGAGCTCAGCCATCCTCTCGGCCTATGACAGCAGCTTGCTGAACGTGAGCTTGGGCAGCCCCCCGGGGCCAGGGGGCGTCGGGGGGCCAGGGGGGGCCCCCTCCAATGACGCGCTGCTCTTCCACGAGAAGTGTGGCTCTCTTATCAAGCTGAGCAATGGGCACAAGACGGCCGAGCGGCGCCGCCCTCTTGATGAGTTCAACAATGGTGTCGTCATCACCAACCGACCACTGCGTGACGCTGAGATGTTTGAGGTGCTGGGGGGCTGTGGGCAGGGGAACTGTGGACCAGGATTGAGGGGTGCCAGCAGGGTTGAGGGGGCTGGAGGGGTAGGGGCTGCGGGGGGGCACCAGGAGGACCGGGGGTGTGGGGGCAGGGGGGTGCGGGGCTGGAGGGAGGGGCACTGGC